TTTAAGGTGATAAGAACTAGATCTTCATCATCAATAGGAGATCCGGCAAGAGATAGCTTATCTGAAATGTTCTTGATCTGTTGCAGATATTTATCCATCGAAAAATATTTCTTCAAGATATTGTTGAGTTTGTTCTTTAACTGGTGAATGTGCGAGAGAGAGAGAGAGAGAGAGAGAGAGAGAGAGAGAGAGAGAGATGAATTTCTTAGTAAGAAAAGACCAAACTTCATTGCAAGCCACACATTGAAACACAGATGTGAAAACCGCAGGTGTTAAAGTTGTAGTAATGCAACTAAAGAGATGTGAATCGATCAATTTCCATGTCAAGAATTTTGGATTCGTCACAGTGTTGCCAGAAGAGTCAACCACAGTTAAAGTTGAACAAACAGATGATTTGGAATTGGTTTTTCCAAGAAATGTAATTTATGGTATCCAACTTGACTGTAACAAAGGAGTTCAAGTTAGAAATCAGGAGAGTAAGATTTAGGGGAAGAGATGAAGATAAAGACACCATGGTAGCCATTGAAGAACCTTCACAAGATCTATGCTCGTTAGAGCTATAGCTCTGATACCATAAAGCAAAACTGAAAAAGTTGAAGTATTTCTTTATTGAATGAATAAATTGTAGTATAGAGTAGTATATATATATATATATATATATCTATTCAAGATATGACATACACCTAAGCTATATCTAACTATACAACCAATCCTCAAACTAACCCCTAATCATCTGCAGTTGTAAAAACTTTTTTTGAGATATCATAAGCTACTCCTCAACCTTATCAGATAATGCACTTGATCTAGAACCATCTTTGATTTGCTGCTCTTACTCTATTATAGTGTGATTCTCATCAGTTTATTTATTTTTTACTTGTATGGGTACTTTCTTTTTTTTTTCTTCTTTTTGTTGAGATTTTCAACTACTTATGAGCATAATGTTGGTTTATTTTTTCATTAGGTTTGGTCTTTGGTGAAGAGGTGCTTTGTACAGGGAAGTCTTGAAATTGGAGAGTCAGGATTATTGGTGATGATCACAATTTTAGGATATGTTTCTAATAGCAGCAGCTTGTATTTTATATTTTGGATTTTTCATGCTGAACACAGTTTACATATTTTAGTTTTTTTCTTCCAATTAGTTACTGACTCTCCCACCATTTTTGGTTAAATACTTGCAAGTAATATGCAATATCTAGAAGTTGTTCTTTAGAATGATGGTTTCACATTATATGTTTTAATTGTTTTTTTCTTTGATTGGATTATATTGTTGTAATTGTTCATTAGTCTTTGACTCAAATATTTAAATTGTTGTATTTGTTAGATGGCTAAGGTTCTTTTGAAGGTAGAAAAATCATATTAGAAGTAGAAGAGGGAAAATCTAATTATGTGAAAAATTAGGATGGATATTCATAATGATGCCAACTTTGTGGATCACTTTCGCTGCCAGTATTGCAATACAGTTGCTACAATGGTATATGATATGTAGAAGAAAGAAAGAAAGAAAGAAAGAAGCCATTACCTTCATTTAATCTACACTTCCTACATGCCATGCGTACAAGACATATAGATGAATGTGACTCATTATGCTAATTATAGGGTACCCAAACTTTTAAAATTATTATTCATTACTGTAACGAGTTGAATAAAATTGAATTTATATTTTAATCTTAGTTGGGGATTTATTTTAAATTATTAAACTCCATTCATTTTGGACCCAATTGATTGAATTGTGACATGTTAGTAACTATGTAATAATGTTGTGGTTTTATTATTATTATTATTTAATTACCATAAAAGACTTGTGAATATTTATGATGTGTATCATTAAACGAAATATATTTTGTAGTGAGAAAATATTATATTTACGTTTATCATTAAAGATATTGAAATATATTTTTAATAAATATATAGGCATATATATATATATATATAGTTAGATATTTGTTTACGAAATATCTATAAAAGTAACCAAAATGATTTTTTATTCAACTTTTGGGAGTTCTTGGGAGGTCTTGCCATGAGAAAAGAAAGAAAAAAAGGTTCTAAGTTGGTTTTTCTTGGGTTTGATCTAGTATAAGTCATTTTTGACTCCTAGTGCTTTGGATCAAAACGTAGAGGGTGGAAAAGGCGTCGTTTGGCTCCAAAAAAATTTAATTTCTGTTGCCGAAAAATTTGGAAGCTTCTTGGCTTGAGGTAGAGATTTTTCCTACACTTCTTTATGGACTTTTACTTGAATATATGGAGCTTAGAGTTGTATATAATTTAATTAGAATTTTTGGAAAACTTGTGATTTATTTGCTTAGAGGAGAAATTTTGAGAAAAATAAAGAGTTGATGCCCAAATTGCGAAAGTGTAAACTTGAAATATGTTTGTAACGTTATGAAAGAGTTATGTTTTAAATTTGAACAAAAACGAACTTCGACTCGATTGGTTTTTGAAATTTTTACCGGTTTGTGACCAAAAGAGCATTTTTAAAGAAAACAAAGGAATTATGTTTAACTTTTGAGGTTTTTGATCAAAATAGGATGTCATAGTTGAATAATGCTTGGAGAATGAGTTTGGAAATAAAATGATGTTTTCTTGGGCATTAACGGTATTATTTTGCTTAATGTATCTGTTGGAATAAAACTGACACGGTTAGAAATGGACCTTGAGAGGTTACCAGACGTGATTGTGTTATGAAAACTAGTGTAGTTGTTCATATTTGATGAGATGTGGAATAGATTGTATTTATCGGAATTTTTGAAATTTAATCGTTTAAATATCTGTTTAGAAATATCTATTTTGGGCTATCGGTGGAGGATAGCCATGATTTGTTGTAGAAATGCATGAGACTTAGGTAAATTGAACCACATTCCTCATTTGTTGCATCGGACATTGCATTACATTCATTTCATTGGAAATGTATCTGTTTTTGAGAAATGTTTGAAAATGTATTTGTTTGCGAAAAGATAAATACTTGGTGAATCTAGGTAGGGTGTGTAGAACCGCGCGGTTAGGTGTCGAGCCTTCAAATTTACTGGTAAAAATTACAATGGTAGTACATTAGGGCCTACTTGCAGACACTCACCTAGAGATTCATAAAGCTTGTATTCATGTAACAGATTTGGTTTACAATAGAAATGGTTTTATACATGTTGTTGTATCTCAGTATTGCATGCTTTATAAAAAGAGAGATAAACTGTTTTATCATGAGCATGACATGAGCATACTCCTCTTTAGTCTTGTCATGGTACATATGTTATGTAGTATATCTCTACTAGGCTGTGGCTCACCCTATAAGGGAAACCATTTCAGGTACAGGTGATATGCCTCTGCCAAGTTATTGACTTGGGAGGACTCGGAGCTGAGGCTCCATTTTTGTTTTATTGTTATTTGTTGAATGTAAGCCTAGGGCTGTATTTGCATTAAGTTGAAACTCTATTTTGCGTAACCAAGAATGTTCTTGGATAAATTTGTAAGCTTGTAGAGCACTTATTATCTGTTTGGCGTCTATTTCATACTTGTTGCAAAATGTATGCTTGGGATTGGAAATGGGGCATTGAGATGTGAACAACATGTATTTGGCATTTGGGATTTAATGGAAATGGATGTATGGAATTTGTAGCTATATATATGTGTTTGTTTATCAAGTGATTTTTGTTGCATAAATAGATATACCTTGCCCAATTTTGGGGGTGTTACAACTTGGTATCAGAGTGTACTGGGCTTGAATACTTTGGGTACATGGGGAGTGGTTAGTACCACAGTGGGTTTATCTCGCTTGATAGAGATATCTGTATGATGAGGTGCTATGTGATAACATGCTTATGTGATTATATGGGTATGGGGTTTGATTTCTGAGATGTTGATTGGGTCTGTGAGTTCCTGGAAGTCCAGTTAGAAGTGCACTTGATCACTACTATTTTTGATTGGAACTTTAGCAACGTCATGGGATAATCATTATCTAGAAAGAAAATCTATATGTGCTTATGTGACTATGTGTTTATGTGGAATGAATTAACTGTTGTCCATTGCCTTAGGACGTGAGTGAGTTAGTTTTGGCACAATTGTGATTGTGCTAATCTCGAGTGTTATCTTTATTAGGATGTCAGGACGTAGAAGGGGCAGTGGTAGTCATGGTTGGCCTAGGAGGCATGAGATGCCAATACCGGATGAGATTTCGGTGCAAGAGGAGGGGATAGGACAGGCATATGTGGCTGAGCCAACTGGTCAACAGGCCATGGGTACTTTGGCATGAGAGATAGCAAGGGCTGAGAACCTAGTACAGGCCCCATCAGCCTCAGTTGCAGAGATAGGACCACTCCTGCTAAAAAGAGAGTTCTTTTGGACCAATTTGGATATTTTTGTGGGAGATCCTAAGGAGCCACTGAAGGCTGATGAGTGGCTAGAACAGAAGGTTAAGACGTTCAAGATGCTAGACATTGAGGAGGACGTTCTGAGAGTGACCTTGACATCCTTTCAGCTGAAGGGAGAAGCGGGTCAGTGGTGGAAATACGTGCAAGGACGTATTGGGGTGACCTAGGAGGCCTTTGTCAACGCCTTTCAGGAGAAGTATCTTCTTGCTATTGTTAGAGAGAGATTGAGGGAACAGTTCAAGAACCTCAAACAACAGCTTAGCACATCGGTGGCGGAGTTTAAGGCCAGTTTTGCTAGTTTGTCCAGATTTGCTCCTGAGCTTGTGGCGACAGAGAAACGCTGTTGTATCGAGTTTGAGACTCGACTAAGAGTTGAGCTTGCCTACTGTGTGAGCGGGTCTATGATGAGAGAGTATAACTGTCTTGTTGAGGCAGCAGCACATATGGAAACCAGGTTAGGAGCTGGAGAGAGGGATATGAGGGGTTTCAGGCAGAGAGGCCAAGAGATATAGGGTGAGACCCGAAACACCAAGAGACAAAGAGGTTTTACACCACAGCAGTCTCATAGGGCATAGTCTAGGTCCACTTTTCCAGTGCCGAGTTCAGGGGAAGGGAGAGGTGGCCAATGAGGATTTTCTTGTTTCAAGTGTGGCCAGTTTGCTCATAAGTCCTTTTCTTGCTCACAGAAGGGGAGAGGGCAGCGGTCTGCTCCGTCTTTAATCCACCCACTGAGCCAGAGTCAGGGGAGGGGGTAGTCTTTGACTTGCTTTCAGTGTGGAGAGGCAGGACACATGAAGAGGTACTGTCCACAGTTGGATGGCACACCTGGTGCATCTGGATCGAGGCAGACTTAGAGTCACCAGCTAGCACAGTCAGCACAGGCCTCGATGGCCACTCTGGGAGCCTCTTTGGCTCAGTCTGTACATCCAGCTTATGCTCCAAGAAAGGAGCAGGTGGATCAGAGACCTACTGGGCGTGTGTATGTTGTTACCACACTAGAGTTAGTTCTAGCACCTTCGGTTGTGAGAGGTACCAAAAAACAAAATTGATTTTATTGAAGTCAGGGGGTGACATCCCCGATTGCAGAGGCAACATGAAAAAGAAAAAGAAAAAGAAAAATAAAAAGAAAAAGAAAAAGGATCTTGTTTTTGATAATGGCCACACGCCAACTTCACTTAGACGACTCTCTCGCTGAGCCCTTCCTTTTTTTGTCATCTTGGGAGACCCTTGAAGGCCCTACCTCAGTGCGCACAGGACCGCTGAGAGAGTTGAATCCCTGTTGGCTGTCAAAGGCGAAGTACGAAGGTGCTCCGAATCGGGCCATGATAGTGGTCTTCCGTTTCAGCTCTTTATTCCCCATCTTCAGTGCGCAAATCTCTGCTCGCGCATCTTTGTACATGCGCTGGAGTAGAGAAAATTGGGCATTTAACTGATGTACCTCGTTGGTCCTATTCTACAGCTGGTGAGACAATTTAGTAACCATAGTCACTGTCTCCATGCAGGATCTCAGTGTGAAGTGGTTGGCTTCAATGTCAGATTGAGCGGCCATGATTTACTCAACTAACATCATGGGAAAGTTAAGAAGAGTAGAAGCAGGGGCACTATGTTTAGGAAGGTTAAGAAGAGTAGTAGCAGGGGCACCCTGCCCAGGAAAGTTAGGAAGAGTAGGAGTAGGGACACTCTGTCCAGGAGAGCTTGGATCATTGAGGTCCAGAAAGAGAGTGAGGGGACAAGATGAGGCCATGTGTGGTGAGAGGTGTAAGAAAGAAAGAAAGGAGAGTTAGAGAAATAGCAGAGAACAGACTGAGTTTTGGGACAGCTTTTCTCCTCCGCTCAGTCTCGATGTTCTGTCTCTCTCAAGGGGAATGAGGAAGAAGAATGAGAAGAGAGTGATTAAGTAGACGAAAGAAAGTGATGAAGAAGAAGAAGAAGAAGAAAATAGAAGAGAAGAAAACAAAGAGGGAGAGAGAGCCGAGGCGAGCTTACAAATCGAAGAGGTCTGCTTTTGTTGGCCAGTTGGCGTAAAAGCAAGACCGCGTGTCAAACGCGATTTTCGAAGGAAGAGAGAGAAGACGGAAAGTTGTATACATATATGTATATATATTGTACATTTATGAATTATATACATTTATTCGACTATTTTTGTCACAAGAGTAGCTTGGCTCAATGGTTTGGCTCAGTGGTTTGGGCTAGGGCCTAATGCTTGAGATCGGGGGTTCAAAACCCCGTATCCCTGCATTCGTGTTTTATTTCTTTTTTGCGTGTTTTGCTTATGCGCGATGACATCAGCTAATGAAATATTCCGTCGTAGTAACAGCATATGCTCACTGACGTCCTTAGATAGAATATTCCTTGTCAGTAACGGCATATTCCCCAAATGTGTCTGTGTATATGCACGTGTCTGTGAATTTTCTCCATATTTGTCCGTATGTGTCTGTGTATCTTTTGTTCGTATTTTTCCCTTGGTGAAAATGTTGTGGAGACACCACGGGGTTGAGGAGGCGACTTGGGAACGTGAGGCTGAAGTCCGCGAAAAGTATCCGGACCTTTTTATTAATGTTTGAGAGTTGTAATAGAAACGTTATTTTGATATTAGGATGTACATCGTATATGTTACGAAATAGGGTGAATTTCTTATGTTTAATTGGAAGGTTCTGTTATCATACCATGATTATGTTTCTACGGTTATAATTTATTTTAATTCAGTGAGGTTATCTAATTTAAATTTTGGGGACGAAATTCCTTAAGGGGGGAAGGTTGTAACGAGTTGAATCAAATTGAATTTATATTTTAATCTCAGTTAGGGATTTATTTTAAATTATTAAACTCCATTCATTTTGGACCTAATTGATTGATTGAATTGTGACCCGTTAGTAACCATGTAATAATGTTGTGGTTTTATTATTATTATTTGATTACCATAAAAGACTTGTGAATATTTATGGTGTGTACCATTAAACGAAATATATTTTGTAGTGAGAAAATATTATATTTACTTTTGTGATTAAAGATGTTGAAATATATTTTTAATATATATATATATATATAGGCATATATATATAGTTAGATATTTGTTTAAGAAATATCTATAAAAGTAACCAATACGATTTTTTATTCAACTTTTGGGAGTTCTTGGGAGGTCTTGCCATGAGAAAAGAAAGAAAAAAGGTTCTAAGTTGGTTTTTCTTGAGTTTGATCTAGTATAAGTCATTTTTGACCCCTAGTGCTTTGGATCAAAACATAGAGGGCAGAAAAGGCGTCGTTTGACTCCAAAAAAAATTAATTTATGTTGCCAAAAAATTTGAAAGCTTCTTGGCTTGAGGTAGGGATTTTTCTTACACTTCTTTATGCACTTTTACTTGATTATATGGAGCTTAAAGTTGTATACAATTTAATTAGAATTTTTGGAAAACTTGTGATTTATTTGCTTAAAGGAGAAATTTTGAGAAAAAATAAAGAGTTGATGCCCAAATTGCAAAAGTGTAAACTTGGAATATATTTGTAAGGTTATGAAAGAGCTATGTTTTAAATTTGAACAAAAACGGACTTCGACTCAATTGGTTTTTGAAATTTTTATCGGTTTGTGACCAAAAGAGCATTTTTAAAGAAAACAAAGGAATTACGTTTAACATTTGGGGCTTTTGATCAAAATAGGATGTCATAGTTGAATAATGCTTGGAGAATGAGTTTGGCAAGAAAATGATGTTTTCTTGGGCGTTAACGGTATTATTTTGCTTAATGTATCTGTTGGAATAAAACTGACACGGTTAGAAATGGACCTTGAGAGGTTACCGGATGTGATTGTGTTATGAAAATTAGTGTAGTTGTTCATATTTGATGAGATGTGGAATAGATTGTATTTATCAGATTTTTTGGAATTGAATTGTTTAAATATCTGTTTAGAAATATCTGTTTTGGGCTATCAGTGAAGGATAGACATGATTGTTGTAGAAATGCATGAGACTTAGGTAAATTGAACCACATTTCTTATTTGTTGCATCAGACATTGCATTACATTCATTTCATTGGAAATGTATCTGTTTTTGAGAAATGTTTGGAAATGTATCTGCTTGTGAAAAGATAAATACTTGGTGAATCTGGGTAGGGGGTGTAGAACTGCGCGGTTAGGTGTCGAGCCTTCCAATTTACTTGTAAAAATGACAGTGGTAGTGCATTAGGGCCTACTTGCAGACACTCACCTAGAGATTCACAAAGCTTGTATTCATGTAACTGATATGGTTTAAAATGGAAATGATTTTATATCTATTGTTGCATCTCAGCATTGCATGCTTTATAAAAAGTGAGATAAACTGTTTTATGAGGAGATGGCATGAGCATACTTCTCTTTAGTCTTGTCATGGTACATATGTTGTGTACTATATCTCTATTGAGCTGTAACTCACCCTATAAGGGAAACCATTTCAAGTACAGGTGATATGCCTCCGCCAAGGTACTGACTTGGGAAGACTCGGAACTGAGGCTCCATTTTTGTTTTATTGTTATTTGTTGAATGTAAGCCTAGGGCTGTATTTGCGTTGAGTTGAAACTCCATTTTGCGTAACCAAGAATGTTCTTGGATAACTTTGTAAGCCTGTAGGGCACTTATTATCTATTTGGCTTCTATTTCATACTTGTTGCAAAATGCATGCTTAGGATTGGAACTGGGGCATTGAGATGTAAACAGCATGTATTTGGCATTTGGGATTTAATGGAAATGGATGTATGGAATAAGTAGCTATATATATGTGTTTTTTTACCAGGTGGGTTTTGTTGCATAAAATAGATATACCCTGCTCAATTTTTGGGGCATTACAATTACAGTGTGATGATTTTTATGTTGGGTTTAGATGTTTAGAATGATAGTTGGGTTTAGCTATTAAGACACGTTTATAGTATAAGACATATCTATTAATATCGCTAGTATAGTATAAAGCACGCTTCACTTACCCATTGTAATGTGACTTTTTTGTTTTCCTTCTTTCCTTTCTTTCCTTTTTATTTGATCACATCATGTTTTCTTGCATTCTACTCATTTATATTTTTTGGTAAATTTTATATGGCTTTAATTCATGCTATGTAGAGATGTTAAATGAACTAACTACTTATATTTTACTCATTAAAATCTCATTGGAGATACTAATTGTTATGAAAACAAGTCAAGCTTGAATATAAGTTTAAACTCGTTAAATTTTCAAGTCAAGCTTGAACAATTTTGCCCAATAAACTCATATGCGCTATAAAAAAATCAAGCTACTCGAGTTCGACTCGTGTTCGGCTCATTAAAAGCTTGTTTGAGATCGACTTGTTATATAAATAAGACAAGCTTGAACATATTTGTAGGCTCGTTAATTTATCAAACTAAGTTTGAACAACCTACTGCTCAGTTCAACTCAACTTATTTTCAACCCTAACTAAAATATCTATTTTGTCTTTTTGTCTTTTTTTAGCATTGCTCTCTTTTTGGTTTTGTTTACCATTTTGGTCCTATAATTTTTTTCACAGTTCACATTTTTGCATTTTGTTAAGGCTTAATAAAAAATTATTTTATTGTTACCAATATATATGATATGTTATTACTATATTGATAAGTTATATGAGTAAGGAATTTATTTCATCAATGAAAATGCTATAGACACCAAATAATTTACCAAGTTTTCTACCAAAACTCTCAAATAGGTGTGGAACCCACACAAACCCACATATGTGTGGGTCCCACACCTATGTGAGAGTTTTGGTAGAGAATTTGGGATCCCTAGCATAACTCTTTGATCAATCTAATGATATTACATAAAATGTTAAATAAAATATGAATAATACACAAACCAATTTTTTGAGTTAAATTTTCATAGAATGATGTTGTTTCTTTTGTTGTCCTCCTTCTAATAAAATTGCTATTAACTACAATTTCAAAAATATCATCAACACATAATTCTAGATTCATATGTTAATTTAGAATTTGATTGACA